ACGTACCTGGTGGAGGTGGAGGTCGGCATTGGTGTTGACATCATCACTCGCTGGTCGTCAAGTTGTCTGGTTGCTTTCATTGCTGTAGTTGTAGGCTTAGGCTGTAGAGTAGGTAGGGCGCCTGGCGCCATTCAGAGAGAGAGCTAYATTGGGTTATGCTGTTGGTGTTGCCCTGTGGGGCTTGGACATTGACTCACGATTCTTCTGTATTGTTCTCAAATGGATGGTTACTCGGTTCCATTGTACTATCTGCTCTTGCTTTGACTACTTGGACTTCAGTGTGATTTTGCAATCTGGATTTCTGTGCTTCGTCCATATTCATGTTCCTTGCAAAAGGGACCTGAGATATGCCAGGGGGACTGGGCAATTGAAATAGACTCCCTTCCGGCTTCCGCTGCTCATGGGCATACACAGGGTTTAAGAAGGTTGATGGGAGACTTGTCAAACTGCAGGCGTCTGACCCGACCCCTGCCCCATCGTCCCCTACTTCTCTTCTACATGTCAGTTCAGAGGACAGCATGACCGCATCGAGGTCAACGTTCCTGGTTTGGCGGATCCATCTGGGTGTATGAAATAGCTATGCCGGTAGAAGTGCTCTCATTTACTCAGAGCGTGTGGCGGTGGCCAGGTAGGTAGGTGGCTCCAGTTTGGGCATACACAGTCAAGGAGAGGAACAGGGCCAACAGCAGTCTGGAACCCATCATATCTGTGCTGGCTAAACACTGGGGGGGGGAAATTCCCGGCTCTGAAGGACGAAGTGCTAGGTACAATACTTTCAATGACTTGGCTAATGATGTACCTTTCTTCCAAACTCGGCGCTGACCAATGTTTAGTTTTCATAAGTTAATGACTTTGTGTAGGGTTCAGGACAAATTGACATGAACTTAGCCCTTGCCCAAGACACCCCTTCTATGCCGAATGACCCTCTCTCCTACCCCCATCCAAAAGAGTCCTATCTCTGCCCCGTCTGTTTCTATTCTGTCAAAGCTACCTTAGCGAGGGATGAAGGGCTACCGGCTGGATATATCATGCACTTCGCTGGAGGAAAACAGTGTGAGGAAACCCTGGGAGGGTGCCCTGTCCGTCGCTGAAGCCAGGGGCAACAGCGCCTGTCACTCACTGGCGCTCGCTTCGGAGGTCCTCCACGACCGACTGGGACCTGGGGTTTGTGTTGCCTGTCACACCCCCACTTAGAGCTGCACTTATAAGCCCCCCTTTGCCTCACTCAGAAGGTACGAAAAAATTAAACCACCAGTACCTACCGGTTGTCAAGGCCCGTGGCTCAGGCTACCGGTAGGCCGGTCATTGCCGAGCCTCGGAGTTTATTGCCGAGCCTTGGACAACCGGTAGTACACAACGGGGAAACAAAAGCAAAAAAAAAACACAAGAAAACAAACAACATTCTGCAAAAAAAAAAAAAAAAAAAAAAAAAAAAA